CCAATATTTAGAATGGAACTTCAGGGTGGACATAGGCTGTATATTATTCCGTTAAACATTCATATAAATTAAATGATATAATCTAGGTTAAGGCTTTTATGTCCAACAGATGGCGCTACGAGTACGACGCCCTAAGTTTGCTTTTCTGTGAGGCATTATCCTTTTCTCTGAAAATGACCTAAAGCAGATCATCTTCTATCTATTTATATAAATAAAAATGTAATGTTCGTTTGTTCCTACTGATTCCTTTGAAATTTTCACACAACGCTGCATTCGAATACGCATATGTTTTTATATAATATACGTGTCGAAGTTCAACCCCACTGAAGGGAGATGCTTAGGATTAATTAAGGCTTACCGTAAAGAACTCTGCTTCTATTTATACTATTTTACATGCGGTTTTTTGCGTTTTTGATTGCGTTTTAATAGGGTACGTCAAGAGAATGTACACTAAGAAGAAATTTTTCGAAAAATTTCCCCCAAGTGGGAAGTGTTATACATTTATAATAGATACATTCTGAGCCACAACAACGCGTGGTGGAGTCTGCTAGTTAGCAATAAAGTAAATTAGCATATAGTTTTCTGCCTGTAATCTGAGATTGTGTGTTTATAAAAATCCTTCCAACTTGAATAGTATAGATTATAGGCCACTGTATATGATCTGTAACTATTTTTCCACAATTTCAAAAAATAACTTTAAAATTATTTTACATTTGTTGTGTTAAGAAGTTTCTTGACATGATAAAAATGCAACTAGATGTTTTGTTGTTTAAGTGTCAGATAGATACAAAGAAAAAGAGGCAGAAAAATCTTTTCACTTCTATTTGTAAATGGAATAAAGCATTGTTTATGAATCTGTAAGCACTCTAATAAACATCTCCAAGCCAATCTTTATTTAAAATATGTTTTAAGTTTAACTTAAGATGTTTTAGCTTGGATAAACAATACAATTAACTAACATCATGACAAGTATAAAAGTCTTCTCAACATAACAAGCAGGGCTGGCCAAAGAGCATTTACATTTACATTTACTAAAGGATTAGAAGGCCTCCACCAATAGGTATAGCCTTGGAAAAGGAAAGATGAATAGTTATAGTAGAAGTGAGAAGGGTGAAGAGAAGAGAATGGTATATAGGAAAGTGTGAAATATGACATCTCAAAGTACCTGCTGAGTGCCATTTATTAAACACAAAAAAGTACAAATAGCCAAAATACAGTGGTATACAGAATAACCGCCTCTGTTTTGAGGCAGTAGGAGCCCCATTATGGCTGACTTGCCTTGGAGCTCAACAAACATATATGTGCAAATATACAACCTGATTGGGGAAAAGACAGACCAAATACTCCATGCCTTGGGAGGGAACAAAAGAGAACAACCGTACAAACAAAAAACAGCTTGTAACCAGCTGCAAAGGCCCCTAATGGCTAATTTGCTGAGGGCTCGCAAACACACATTCGCACTAATGTACAGTACAACCCCTTAGAGAGAAAGACAAATCCCCCATGCCTTTGGAGGGAACAAAAGAAAGCAACCGTTTGTACAAAAAACAGCCCAAAACTTGGCAAAATGGCCCTTAATAGCTACCTTGTCAAAGGGCCTGCACACAAACAAACACATCTCCTATCAAGGGGACGAGACCTGGCCTTGGAGGTTACAAAAAATGCAAGCGACAAATTCTACCATAAAGGGACCAGGGACAATGACATTGTTCCTTCAGGTCTGGTGGTGCATGACCAAAGGGTAGTTAAGACATCAACCATCTTAAAACAAAGAACAAAGAATGGTGCCACAATTTATGCCGGTCGACAAGCCTACCCTGCAATGCCGCTCAGACAATATTACGGGCAGCCAGAGACACAGTCCCAGAGCAGACTTTCACAGATACCAAGCCTGGGTTGATTGTTACCAGGAGGGTCAGTTACCTGGTGGACTTCAAGATGTCTGTTGCCCTGATGAAGGTTTCGAAAGCCTGGAGAGTCTTATGATTGGTAAGGAAATCTTTCATTTGGCAAGACCAGTGAAAGCCAACATCAACCAGGGTGCCTTTCTGCTTTATTTTGGACACAAGAAAATTATGTGCTTTGTGTCCTGATCCTCATCCATGGAGCAGAGGCATTTTGTGTCCTCTTTATTAAGAAACTGTTTCAGATATTCTCAAAAGTTTCCACAGCCCATTATGAATTGTGAGGTGGTGAAGTTGGGCTGGTAGAAGTTCTTAGTTTGTCTCTCCATAACACTCGGTAGAAACTCGAAAGCGTGTCAGCCCGTACCTTTGATTCCTACCAGCATTGCCACAGTTGCATTATGGTGTTATTTAACTTGTCTTAATGAAGCTTGTCGGAAGAGTGCTTAGTGAGATGGGCATGTCCAACCTCGCGGCCATTTTTGCCAACAGGTCCACCCGCTCATTTCCACTAACTCCTGAATGTCCCTTAACCCAGTGAAAGTAAATCATCACTCCTTTTCTTTGGTGTGTTTTGAGAAGGTTGTTGTATTCTTAAACAATAATCTTGTTCATAACCATTTTAACTGAGCAAGTGCTGTTTTGTTGTCACTGAATACATTGATTGTCTTATTGTGTAGTCTTGGGTTGTCTTTTATGTAGTGGAGAGCCCTGAAAATGGCCAGGCTCTTTGCGTGGTTATTTGAGCAATGTTATTTGAGTTTGTAATTAGCTTGAAAGATGGTCTTGTCATACTTGTTATACACTACCACAGCATATCCTTCACATTCTGTTGACTTTGACCCATCAGTGAAGATTTTGTATCCACTGTTGCTATCTTCCCAACTCTCCTTAATTTCTGGGCATGGCTTTGCTGGATGTACGGTGTTGTTCCTCTGTGCTGTGTTGAGGCCATACTGTTGAATGTCCCTGATAAGGTCACTCATTAACAGATGGTGGTTGGAAGTCTGAAAACCATCGACTGGTTGTCTGAGAAGTTGATGTTTCCAGTGAATTTTTAAGATGTGTAAGTCAAGAGGCAGTATGTTTGTAATTATGTGTAAAGCATTTGTAGGCCTTTGCAATGGGGATAAGGCTCATGCATTGTATTGATAAAAGTTTCTTCTTGATATTCTGCTTAGTAGCCACTTTTTCCGAGACCTCTGCCCCATATGTTACTGCCAGCTCGATGGCACACCGGTAAATAGTCTGGCTAGTGTTAGAGTTGATGTTATATGTATTCCGAGAAATGCACATGAGGGAATGTGCAAGGTTGATGGCCTTGCTGTGGACATGAATATTCAACATGTGGCTTCCAGGTTAACATTTTATCAATGTTTATTCCCAGGTATTTAATGACTGGGCTGTATTTTATACACCCAGTCATTAAATACCTGGGATGAATAATTGGCCAGAAAGTTTGATGGAACCAGAGGGTAAAGTTGTGGAAATGTGATACATGCACTTTTTCAGGATTTATAAGTAGTTTTTTCTTTTCAGCCCATTGGTTATCTTACTGAGAAGTTTATTCATTTAATGGCACACAAAAATCAAGAAGTTCTGCAGAACTTCTTGAATTTTTGTGTGCCATAAGAACTAGTGTGTCATCTGCAAATCCAAAGATATTTATCATGGTATTTCTCAGAGGTGTGTCTTGCAGTTTAAAAATATCATTGTACTGTACAATGCCAGCCATAAGATGAGCTCTGACCTTGACCCATGTGGGCACCCTTTGTTTATGTTTTTGATGATGCTACTGGTTCCAGTCATAATGCTGGCTTTCCTTTCTGAAGGAAGATTCTATAAAGCCTGTATATATTCCTGGGGCATTTAATTTTTTCCAGAGCCATGAGGATGGTCGGCCACCACACGCGGTCAAAGGCCTCTTGAAAGTCAATTGCCACAGCCAGCATGTGTTTGTTATTGGGTTTTGCATTGTCAATGATCCCCAGCATCTGTTGTAGAACAGTTATGGTGCTCCTGTGTTTGTGGAGACCATGTTAGTTGTTATGTAGGAAACCTTATTTCTCCATTACAAATTCCAGCCTTTTCGAAAGTAGAGCATCCAGGATTTTGCCAAGTATTGGCAACAGTGAGATAGGACAGTAATCTTTTGATGTTGAAGGGTACCCTGACTGTGTTTTAGGTATAAGTTTTATCTCTGCATGATTGTCTTATTGGGTAGTCTTGGGTTGTCTTTTACGTAATGGAGAGCTTTATCTCGCTGTTTCCATGTTTTGGGAAAATATTGCAGTTCTAGATACTTATTGTAGATAACCACAGATGATAGCATAACAGGCAACATAGCTAAGCACACATTTATGTGTGCTTAGCCATGTTGCCTGTTATGCCATCTGGGCCTGGGGCCTTCCTCCAGTTAATTTCCTGACAAAGCTTAGCTATCTCACTAGGACTGAAGTTAGTGTCCAATTCTGTCTTCAGAGCTAGTGGTCACTTCTTCCTCATGGTCGTGTGATAGTGATTGTCTGTTTCTGTCTGGTCTGTAGGAAAGAGCTCAGACAGTAGATAATCGTAAGTCTCTGTAATTGTCTTTGTAAAGTTTCTGTCCCCTTTTCTTACTGTGGTTGGCACCTGGAAATGTTTATATTTATTTAAAACCACTTTAAAGGGTTTACTCCATGGATTTTGGTTGACACTAGTTTTGCAAAACTCCTTCCATAAATTGGTTCTGCTGTTATTGATGATTTCTTTAAACTCTTTCTGTGCTCTACTATACTCCTTGTGGAGGGCCTCCCTCCATGTAGGATCTGAAGTTTTCCAATAGGCCCTTTTCTTTTCCTCACATTATGTCTCATTTTTTGTAACTCCAGATTCCACCATGAAACTTTGCTACTATGGTCTTTAATGGTGGTTGCTCTCATGTAGGCTTGGTTGGTGCAAGCACCCATGAAGTTAACTGAATTAAAGTCTAAGAATTTAAGTCCCCCACCAAGTTCTCTCATATTGATGTTCTGGACAAGTAATGTATAAGGTACTGTACATTCTGACTTATATAATTTTACAACAGAGTTAATCTAATATGTTTTGCTAGAGGACTACTCATTTTTAATGTCCTTTAGAAATCTATTACAGTGAAATTCCATTAACACAGCATCTGGTATGACAGCAAACTTGATAAGCCAGCATGTCCAGCTTGTCTTGGGGGAATATCGGTGCACTGGGTATTCATCTATATTTATATGTAACTATGTAGCCTGTTAACTAAAGCTAAAAATAATAATTAAATTTAAATTTAATTTAAAATTTAAAATGTTTAAAATTCTGGCCTTTATACTGAAACCAAAACTAAAACTAAAAATAAAATTAATTTATTTATTTAAATTAAGATCAAATCAATTGAAACACACTATTTCAGAAAGTGTGGATAAAGTAATTGTCTGTCTTGATTGATTTGGTTACATTTCATTCAGGCAGAGTTGAGTCTCTGTTTATAGCACTTCTTTGTAATGTGTTAGTTTTTGTTTTGGTTGGCAGTGACAGAACATTTTGCTTTTAATATGTAAAATATATAGAATATAGATATATAGATATAGACAGGGGTGTCATTTCCACAATGGAAGGTATGGAAGACTCCATACCTCATATTTTTGCAGGTATGGAATTCCATACCTCAGAATATTGAAAAAATTATTTATAATTTAATGCAAGGCAAGCTAAAGCACTTCTCTCTGTATGAAAACAAATTTTTTCCTTGAATGTTGACCAATCAAACTCTTACATAATCCAAAGTATCAAAATTTTTCTAACACTAAGCAATGCATCACCATTTTGTGAAAGCGGGGTCCTGCTTTCACAAAATTCCATACCTCAACTTTTAAAGAACTGACATCGATGGATATAGATATAGAATGGATATAGATAAAATTGTACAAAGCACAAAGTAAGGGTAGGAATAATCTGGAAAAATTTAAATGGCATGTTAAACAATCATAAGAGGCAGATTTGTACAGTTTTAATGCAAAGATATGTAAAACTGTGTCCAGGGAATCGAAAAAATCAGAAAAAGTTTTATAGTCTGATAAGTTGACACATTCAATAAACCAGCACCACATCAGTCCCGATGATGCCAGGTGAATGGAATGTCACTGTACATAGAAATCTCAATTATTACATATTAAATTCAGATCTATTAGAATACATAATTACATTAATACTTAAAAATCATGCATAACCAACAAAATTTTAAATTTAAAACAAAGAATGGTTTCTCTTTATTAATAAAGACACTCCAAAAAACCTTAATAATTGCATTAACCACTAATTTTTAATGTTTTTGATAAATTTTAAACATTTCAGAATAAACAATTTAAATGTTAGTTATTAACATTTAAATTGTTTATTCTGCAATGTTTAAAATTTATCATTCTATTCAAATGCAAGTGGCATTCAGATTGTACGTTTCTCCTGAGAAAGGTCAGTAAAATATAGCTGAAAACATTAGAAATTAAAGTGGTTAATGCAATTATTATAATTCTTCAGTGTGTCTTTCATATTCAGCATTACATCTTTCTGTCCTTATTGATAATTTTAATCATTTTTAATAGGATAAAGTATTTTTTAATTGAAATTTTATGTAATTATTTCTGTTTGATTTTATCCAAAACAAGAGAGTAAAATTCAAAACTTCAAATTTTCAATGATAATTATAAATAAAATATAAATTTATAAAATTAAGTATTTTACCTTGAACAATGAGCATTGCTGAAGCACGATCTTCATCTAAGGAAGTTTTAGCAATACAAGTATATGTTCCAGAATCTAATTCTACTGTTTTTGTGATTGTTAATGATTTATCAGATGATTGAATAATACGAGCATCCTGATCAAAGTCAATAGGCTTATCATTAAATAACCACTCAATCTGAAGCTTAAGATTGGGATCTACTTCAGCCTCACAGCGGAATGTAGCAGATTTTCCAGCAGCAACTTCAAAATTTTTTGGAGCTTGATAAATTTTTGTTTTAACTAAAAAAAATATAAAAATCACAAATTAATTATTAAAAAAAACTATTTGTGGTGAAAATATTTATTTATTTTATTGTTATGATTAATTAATATATCTTTTAAAATAAATTTTTACCTTTAACTTCTAATCTTCCCATTGCTTCTTCATCTCCAAACTTATTAGATGCATAACATGTATAATCACCTTCATCTTCTTTTGCCACATCTTTAATTTGAAAATCCCCATTTTCTAATAACTTTAAAAAGAGTAAATCATAAACTGTGTAAGTTACTTTAAATTGACTATATATTATATTATCTATAATATAATACAAATTACAAAATTTATCAAATATTGATAGGATATTTATATTAATAACACAAAGTTTTTCATTTTCTAGAAATAAAGATATAGATTAAATGTTTTACTTACTTAATAATATCAAAATTGAAATAACATGATATTGACACTATTTCAGTTTTTATACTATTAAAAATTTTTGATATGCAATTAATTTTTTAAGTAATAATAATATTTTTGCATTTATTTAAAAATGAATTTCAAAATATATATTTTGATCAGTTTAGAGTTTTTATTTTTCTTTGAATACAAAGTACTACTTTGTATTCAAAAATGTTCGAATTCTTGGCATTCCATAGTTGAAACAATAGTGAACCTGAAGTAGATCTCGATAGAAGATCGAAAACGTTCATTCATTTGGTTGGATTTGTATCTTACTGGAAATCTATAGGTTTAGAAGTGGTACTTATATGTATTAGTATTTACTATAGAAAGTTGTACTTTACTATTTACCCAATTTAAAATAAAGTTGTACTTTACTATTTATCCAATTTAAAATAAAGTTGTCATTTAAAGTACTGTTACATATTTTATATATTTCTATTTGTATTACTGTATATGTCTGCTAATAAAATAACAAAATCAAAAAATAATAAAGTAGATATAGAAAATTATATCTTTTATACTTAAACTTTTCAATTATGTAGACAATATTCTATTTTTATTGTATCCAGGCAACATCTAAAACTGCTTGTGGCTCCATCTGTTACAATATTTTATTTTAAAATTTTTTATATTTTTAATTATTATAAAATGAAAAAAAGCTTAATTTTGAGGGCAGAAATGAGTTTCATAAGAAACTGTAAAATCTTCATTAATTGTAAATCAAGTAAAATCTTCATTAAGTGCAACCCTATTCAAGATATAGCACATGACCCCCCCTATATCTCCTCAACATTTAACCACCAAAATTTAATAGCATCAATCCCTCTAATAGTGTCACCACTGCTATTCATTCTCATCACGGACTCTATCACAAAGAATATACAGAACGATGTGCCTTGGACACTGCTTTATGCCGATGACATCATGCTTGCAACCACCATTTGAGAAGAGCTACAGTGCCAGGTGCAGGCCTGGAGCAACCATCTGACTTGCTTTGGTTTGCGCCTTAACACCAATAAGACTGAATATCTAGAAATTTTTCCAAATGTGGGCACAATCCAGGTCAACAGTGATAACTTATATAAAATGCACACTTTTCGCTACCTTGGCTCAACCCTACAGAGTGACAGGAGCACTGACGACAAGGTATAAATGAGGGTAAATGTGGCATGGCTACAATGGAGAAAAATCACTGGTGTTCTCTGTGACAAAAAGATGCCCATGTACCTAAAATCAAAAATCTACTGGACTGTGGTACAACCCATCGCTCTCTATAGTTCCAAATGTTGGCCATCAACAAAAGCAGCCAAACGGCATCTCCATTCCATGGAGATGCGCATGGCTCGCAGGACGCTTGGTTTATCCCTCCTCAACCATATCACCAATGACATGATACACCAACAATTTGGCATTGCGCCCATTGAGGCAAAAAATCCTGGTTTGGCCACATCCAACGATCAGCCCCAGATACAGATGCCAACATTGCCTACTACCTAGAGGTGAACAGCCGCAGGCCACATGGAAGACCAAAGCAACAATGGCAAGATGCTATCAATGCAGACCTAAGGGCTCTGCATCTGAACCCAGACAATGCACTCAATTGAACAAAGTGGTGTTTGAAGATCCAAATAGCAGACCTTACATCTATGGGACAACACTAAGAAGAAGAATCCCTCTAATACACAAACCTTCCTGCAAAATTTTAGAAATTTCAACAAAAAGCACAGGAGCTATAAAGCTTTGAAGTGGGTGAACAAATCATGCCCTATACACATACATTAACATCCACACACATAATTATTTTTTTTCTTACTTTCCTGGCTCTGTTATATATAACAAAGGAAAAGTATGGCAATCAATCAAAAAAATGACCCTCAAGATTTTTGGACTCAGGACCTTGAAATGTTGAGAAATGCAAAATGTTTGGAGGTTTTCCCTGTATGTAAGGATGTTAGTGTGTGGGTGGCACAATTTTGTTCACCTCTCCTTGAAGCTTAATAACTCCTGTGCATTTTGTTGAAAATTTCTGAAATTTTGCAGGGAAGTTTGTGTATTAGAGGAATTAATGCTATTAAATTTTGGTGATCAAAGGGTGACAGGATGGGGAGATAAAGGGGGGTCTGTGTGTTATATCTTGAGTAGGGTCAGACTTAATGACAATTTTACTAGTTATTAGCATTTACAATTTTTTATAAAACCCATACTTACCTTCAAAATTAAGCTTTTTTGCTTAATTTTGAAGGTAGGTATGGGTTTAATAAATAATATAATAATCAAAAATGTAAAAAATTTTTTTAATAAAATATCATAACAGAAGATAGTGCCACCAAAATTTTAAATGTTTCCAGGAGACTTAAGCAACTTGGTTGCTGAATTTTTTTTTTTTTTTTTTTTGGAGATTTTAAAGCAGGGGGCGCCAAAACATCTCCGATGTCGGGAGTTTATATTAGTATTTGTGGCCGTGTCGGTGTTAAACGAGCGGAGTAAATACGCAAAAATTCGAAAAAGAAGGAAATTATTTAAGGTTTGCGCTTATATTCGATATTCGCTTAAATTAAATTAATTAAAACTCAATTTATTTTGAGCAGAGAATTAGATCTCGGATACGAATCTCTGGAATTTAACGCTGTAC